GTGTTCAATGAAATAATATATTTTATATAATTTGGAACAATAGGTCTAAACTCTCTCTAGTCCGAATATAAACTGAACTAAATCTGTTCTACTCGTTAGGTTCTCCCCTTGAATCTCTGACTGGACTCTCCAGCCTCCTTAGATTGTTGATAGTCTTAACTTATATATAATATATAAAAAAAAAACTATGCTTACTGCACTATAATACTGAAATTAATATGTATTGTTAAATAAGTCATTTCAAATATGTGTAATAAAAACTATATCTTTATCTTAGGTTAAACTAACGACTGTGATAAGCGATACAATTAAAAATGAAAACACGGTTTAGCTCTTACGATATCATATGTGGTATCGCAGAGCTCCAAAGGTAATTTCTACCAATTGAAAATACTTCATTTATTGGTGACCGACTATAATTGGCTTACTGGAAATTACTAATAATTATAATTCTTATAGGTTAATCGGCTTACGTGTAAACCAGATATATGATATTGACAATAAGACTTATTTATTTCGGCTTCATGGAGGCGGATCATCGGAGAAGGTTACCTTATTGATTGAATCTGGTACTCGCTTTCACACGACTTCATTTGAGTGGCCAAAGAATATGGCACCTTCGGGATTTTGCATGAAGTTCAGGAAACACTTAAAAAATAAACGGCTCGAGCATATAAACCAACTAGGGGCTGATAGAATAGTTGACTTTCAATTTGGCAGTGGAGAAGCAGCTTATCATGTATTTCTGGAGTTATATGATCGTGGAAATGTTATTTTAACTGATTATGAGAAAACAATACTATACATCTTACGTCCTCACATGGAAGGGGAGAGTATACGATTTGCAGTGCGTGAAAAATATCCGGTCGATCGGGCAAAAATAGGAAATTGTGAACTGATGGAAAGCGAAATGCGGGAAATTATAGAAAATTCGAATGAAGGGGATAGCTTGAAACGCATATTAATGCCAATTCTAGACTGTGGCCCAGCTGTAATTGAGCATGTTCTTATTGAACATGGATTAGAAAATCACTTAATAAAAGGTTCGGTGGATCAAGAGAAAGGCCAAGACGAATCATCAAAAAAACAAAGCAAAAAAAAAAATCGTAAATGTTCAGAAATAAATCCATCTGATATACAATTTTTTGATTTGGCATCAGATTTACCAACACTTATGTTGGCTATCAAGGTAAGTACAAATTCCTATTGTTTCCTTTAATTTTTAATTAACTTAATTAATTTAAATTACAACATACTGACGTTTTATGTACTCYATGATTAAAGTTACAATTGTCACACACACACACACACTTCAATTACAGCCCAATGCCTTGCTGGAATTGATGCCACCAAGGATCGGGCAAAGTCAATTGTTAATTTCGACCAAATTTCGGTAATTTCCTTGATGATATCGTCTAGTTTCGGTCCTTGTTGAATAATCTGTTAGATTTCATCATTACCCAAACATTTTCATTTGATAAGGCCCGGACTTTGCGAAAACCAGGGCAGAATGGCTTAGTTTAAGTCCCTCAAAAGCTTTGTGGGTATTGATCCTTTATGGCAAGGAGCATTATTTTGCTGCAGTAGCCAGTCAATG